TGTGTGTGTGTGTGTGTGTGTGTGTGTGTGCATGTGTGCATGTGCATGTGTATGTGTGTGCATGTGCATGTGTGTGTGTGTGTGTGTGTGTGTGTGTGCATGTGTGCATGTGCATGTGTATGTGTGTGCATGTGCATGTGTGTGTGTGTGTGTGTGTGTGTGTGTGTGTGTGTGCATGTGCATGTGTATGTGTGTGCATGTGCATGTGTGTGTGTGTGTGTGTGTGTGTGTGTGCATGTGTGCATGTGCATGTGTATGTGTGTGCATGTGCATGTGCATGTGCGTGTGTGTGTTTAGTCTGGGAGTCATTATGTTTCTCTGCTGTGTGTTTACAGTATGTTCCCCAGGCGTTCAGAATGAATCTCGTCTGGTGTTTTGTTTCACACAATGCGAGATGATTCCAGATCATCAGTCAGATATTATGAGAGAATGCAGAGATTAGGATTATGACACATCAACAGATCAATATCCATTAGGACAATCCAATCTGGTTCTATTATTTACACTCTAAGGGTATTTTTTTCATTCTACTCACTACCATCATAAAGTTTGGTGTCAGAAAGATAAGTAATAAATACTTTTATTTGTCAAGGCCGCATTAAATGGATCAAAAGTGTCAGTAAAGACATTTATAATGTTACAAAAGATTTCAATTTCTAATAAATGCTGTTCTTTTGAACTTTCTGTTCATCTGTGAATCCTGAAAAATAAAATGTATCACAGTTTAACAAATATCAGTAACTGAAATGAGACAAAACACAAAATAATGTTAAATAATGATGTGTTTTTCTTGATTAAAGAGTCAGTTAATTCAATATAGGTGCTTGTCATTATTTATTTATTTATTTTTTAATCATTTTAAATCACTAGGAACTCTTCGTGGCCCACGAGTGATCATACTTTGAGACGGACTGAATTAAATGAATCAGATACTGAACCTTTGAATGGAAGCAGTTCTGCTGTCAGCGGTCTGAGTGTGTGTGCTGTATGTGTGGTCTGATATTGAGTGTTTCGAGAGGTTTGCATGTGCTGAACCTCAACGATTAGATTCTTGATTACATGCCAACAGACAGCACCAGCATGCTCCGCTTTCTCTCCTCTCAAATCACACACACACATACTCATACACACCTGCTGTACGGATGCATCTCCAACTAACTTACCATTAATCCTGGAGGCCCCTGAACCCCCGGGACCCCGGTATCACCCTTCAGACCCCTTGGTCCCTGGTGGAATAAAACAAAATAATTTTGTCACCGCTGCTGTAAGATAATTAACCCATAAAGTAGATTTAAACATTTTCTGAAGTGCAAAAACCACACAAATATTCATGCTTCTCAAACCAAGGCTTTCAAAAAATACTTAATTTCTATTGCTGAAACACTTACTGAATTCCAGTAATTGTTCTAGTTAAATGTTCCACTGAGACGTCACAATATAGAGTGTGTTTTTGCGAAGGGTTATTATCTCAAACCGCACAGCACGTTTGGAAGCTCTAATGGATTTGTGTATAATATCATAAAATCTAAAGATCTGTAAGCATTTGACTCTGAAGCAGAAAGCTCTGCTCTGAGGACCCTTTCACATGCTGCGCAGAACTCTGTTTATTTCACTTCACTTCTGCTCGTCAGTGCCTGTAAATTACAAAATAATGCAAAGCTAATGTGTCGTAATTGTTTAAAACACAATTTCACAGGCAACTCAATGACTTATTGTAAATAATGGAATTAAACCGCAGTGTGTTTATATTCCTGTGCGTTCCGTGAAGCGAGCGTGTGGTTTCGAGCAGCTATTGTACCGTAATCTCTACGCCCGTCTATCTTCAGCGTTTCTGTTTCTATTTTTGCAACAGAATGAGAGCAGTTTGGGAATTAAAAGCAGTGAGAAATATAATGAAAAATAATAGTTGGAATACTATGGCCAAAAGTACAAGTATAAGATGACAGCCATATTTCAAGACAATTCATATTTCATGACAAGTGATATTTCATGCTTGTTGAGCTTCTGCTGAACTTATATTCCACCACACAAATGACTATATTTTTTGTTAAATGTGAGTTTTAAATTTCATTGCATTTCCATCTGGAGTTCATTCATTGACTTTAAAAGTTAATCTTCATAATCATTTACTTCATAATAACTTTATGATAGTATTAATAATGAAGCAAGATGACATCCAGAATGGCTGAAGAATGTCAGACAACATTTCTAACTGGCCTTCACTGCAGGGAGCCAGCAACAGGTTCAATACTCATACTAAGTGTGGTGCAAAAACATGACACTGTATCTGTCCAGTCAGCAGCTTAATTTACCCTAAATACAAGTTTATAATTTGCTGGTGCGTTTTCTGACTCACTGTTGTTTTCTGATTCAATGTTGTTTTGTTCTGATTCATTGCTCTGTTTCCTGATTCGCTGTTGTATTTTTTTTTCTCTGATTCACCGTTATATTTTCCTGATTCGCTGTTGCGTTTTCCGATTCATCGTTATGTTTTCTGATTCAATGTGTTTTCTGATTCATTGTGTTTTCTGATTCATTGTGTTTTCTGATTCGCTGTTGTGTTTTCTGATTCGCCGTTGTGTTTTCTGATTCATTGTGTTTTCTGATTCATTGTGTTTTCTGATTCGCTATTGTGTTTTCTGATTCATTGTGTTTTCTGATTCGCTGTTGTGTTTTCTGATTCATTGTGTTTTCTGATTCGCCGTTGTGTTTTCTGATTCATTGTGTTTTCTGATTCGCCGTTGTGTTTTCTGATTCGCTATTGTGTTTTCTGATTCGCTGTTGTGTTTTCTGATTCATTGTGTTTTCTGATTCGCTGTTGTGTTTTTCTGAATTGCCAATCTGTTTTTAGGTTTGCTTTGTCTTTTCCAGTTTGTTGTCTTTTCTTATCTGTTGTGTTTTCTGATTCGCTGTTTTCATTTCTGATTTGCGGTTTTGTGTTCTGGTTTGTGAATTTAATTTGCGCTAGTGTACGAATATGAACAAAAAGACGTTTGTGGTTTGGTGTTAATAAAGATTAATTAAGCCATACTGATTTGGCCATGAACATACAGACAAAAAAAGTTTAGGAAATGGTTTCTTACCAATGGTCCTTGTGGTTCAAAAATCCCTGAGAGGTTAAAGATTCCTTCAGTGTCATTCAGCATCAACTGAGGGTGGAAAAACAGTTCAAAGTTCATTCAAATTGCATTGGAATTTGCGTCTACATCTCCAAAATCAACCCAGTGTGACATTTAAAACTAATTCTAGATGTTAATGGACTCATGTTAATGAACCTCATGTAGGTTGATGACTGGTCCAGGAGGCCCTGGAGGTCCAGGTAAACCGATTCCATCCAGACCGCTCTCTCCCTGAAACACAAAACACATCAACTACTGCCATCGAAGCTGATGGCTCTGAGAGAGACACGTCACAAATGTGATTTGGATACAAACCTTCTGACCCATATCACCTTTCTCTCCCCTTTCCCCCTGAAAAAGGTTACACAACAGCAAATTAAAAACAAATTCCTGTATTTTATTATCAAAAAGGATTCATAAATTGACTGAAATAGAATGACTATAATTTTATACAGCCTATTTTGTTTAATATATTTACTTGTCGCCCAGGCAGTCCAGATGACCCAGGCTGTCCATCGTCTCCTTTAGCGCCCGGCTCCCCCTAGTGGAGTGAAGGAGAAATGATTACACAAAATTAAAGCATTAAACACTAAATCAAATGTTAAATGAATGTCTGTGTTGCACAAACAAGTATCACACGTTTTATAATATTTACATAGCATATAATAAATCATATATAAAATAGTTATCCTGTGCAGAATATCTATGAATTTGTGAAGCTATATTAATCATGTTTACGGCAGATAGTACGTTTGCCACTAAACATGGGAGCAATTTACTTGTGTTATATTAAGTGGGATCCGATTTAGCTGATAACTTCCTGAATCCAACTTCTGTAACTGTGTGTGTTATGTAATACCAAACCATTACAATGCATTTTTACTTTGAATTACACTATGAAGGAGTTCAAAGCCTGAGACGCATTCACTGACCCTAACAGATGTGCTGAAGATAGGAACTTTGTGGCTAATGGGGAACATGTGGATGGGAATGGCGTGCTTCCTTTGGAAAGCAGGAATGGAAACAGTTGTGGAAGTGTGTGTGTGGATGTTTTTGTGTATGTGATTGTGTGAGGAGCACAGACCTTCACTGAAGCACCCGGAGGGCCGACGGCTCCTTCTTTCCCCTGAAAGTGTAGAGTTGAGTTCATTTCAATTAAATCTAAAGCATCTCTAACACTAATAAATGTTTAGACAGATATGCATCATCTAAATATTGATTCCCAGGTAATGCCAGGTAAAAATAGCATAACAGATGCCATATCATGGGTTTTACAGTATTGACAGATCACGCCAGATTTCTCTGTGTTTTGTGCAGATCTCTATAGTGCATGTACCTGTGGCCCTGGAGGTCCTGGGAGCCCAGGAAGACCCTGAGGATGAGAATATGCATGAGAATGAGCTGCAGTTCAGCTGTAAGAGCCAGAAAAGCCTCAGTATATGTGAATGTACGTACAGGTGGTCCTCTGGGCAGAACAGGTCTGAAACCACTGCTTCCATCCAGACCCGAGCCCTCCAAATCCTGCCACAAAACAAACAAACAAACAAAAAACAATACCGTTTATTCAAAGGCTAAGACCACAGGCGGCTCTAAATTCACCTAATTTCACTCATTCAAACACAAGCGTCAAATTCACTTTCAAGAGCTTTCAGTTCATGTGAACATGTGAACAAACACAAATCTGTACTCCTTTAATAAAATACCCAACACTCACATGTAAATAACTGGTTAAAAACAAGCAAATAAATATAAAGGAAAGGACAGATAAACAAACAAACAAATCTATAGACTCTGAAGGTCTGTGAAACACACCATCATGTCAAAGCTGAAGCCTTTTCCCGGAGGCCCCGGCTGACCCCTGGGGCCCTCAGATCCCGTCTGTCCTGGGAGCCCCGGCTGGCCTGCATCACCCTGACAGACAAAGATCACTTCTAAAGTTATCAACAGCCTAGTCTTCAAACTAATGATACATCTCAGATTGTTCACAGTTCTTTTACTCATCATGTGAAGTAGTTAATCTACAAGACAAGCAGCTGATCCAAATGACTTTACCTTTGGTCCCATGATTCCAGGTAAACCTGGTTCACCCTGCCAAAAAAAACACGAGAGGTGTCAAAATCACTGTTTGGAAACAGATTTGATTCTGCAGGAGGGTCTGGAGCGACACAAGGCTGAAGATCAGAACATTATAAGCATGAAAAAGACATAATCTGTGGAAGGTGTGACTTCACTAAATGTGTATGTATAATAATCATGCATCTAAATGTTCAAAGACAGCAAGAGAGGAACACAGGAATTAAATAAACAATAAAACCAACCAACGGTGACAAATACAAATGCAAGGAAATATACCCCTGGAAAAAGCCATGTTTCATATTCAGATATCTTACTTTCCGTCCTTGCTCTCCTTCTTTGCCTGTTTGTCCGTCTCGTCCATTTTCACCCTAAAATGAGAGAAATCACCACATAAGGACCTCCTGCATATGTCTAATATTAATAATCAATACAATACAAATAGCGACAGATGATAACTGTCTATATGGTTTCATCTGAAGTGTGTTTCTCACACTCTCATTTCTTGACTCAGGTGTTATTAGTCTTTTGCGGAGCAGTCTTTCAGGAGAAGCGTGAGGTTTTTGGTGACGGTGTTTCAGCAGGAAACAGGGAGTTAGTTATAGTTTTGTCCTTTCCAAGGGCAGTTTCCCCATCATAACATCATACGAGCTCAGCAGATGAATATCAGCTCATATGAAGAAGAAACGAACCCTGAACTCCGTCATCATCAGCCCTCGTCTGATCTGTGCTCGATTCACAGCTTAACGGGTCAGTGTTCATCCCAGAACTTTATTGGATTAATGCTATCTGATCGGCTCGGGAAAAAAAACTATTCATTTTCATTTTCACTCAAGACAAAACATTTGGGAACAATTACTTCAATCAGGAGGTCTAGATAAGAATGCAATGTAATGTTTCTGAGAACTGTAATAACTCTTTAAACTGTCCAGAAATGGCACTGTGACAAAAAAATTAATAATAAATGTATATATATATATATATAGTTGAGTCAGATATAGAATTATATATAAACTCAGGATTGCGAGAAAAAGAATTGAGATAAAAAGTCACTATTAAACTTTTTTTTTTAAATGTTACATTTTAAAAGTTTTTAAATATTTTTTTATTCCATTTGCAGAAGAAAACAAAACAGATTTGCGAGACAGATTAAACTCAAAACTTAAAAAAAAAAAAAGATATAAACTCATATAACTTGCCAGATGTTAAGTCTCAATTCTGACTTTTGTCTTGCTATTCTGCCATTTTTCATTGCAAAAAAATTCAGAATTGTAAAATAAAAAATCTATTGATTATTATAATTTTTTTATCCCATGTTGGAAACAAGCTTCTACAGTAGAGTGAAGTATGGGGCTTTGCTAAAAACTACTGCATGTATTTGATCAAACTGCTGACAAGAAGACCCTTCCTCACACAAACACTTGATTCTGACGCGTGTGATGAAAGCAGAATGAGATTTCTGATGGGGGACACGACACGTGGTTTGAGTTTAGCATCCAGCCCCACTGAACCAGTCCTCAATCCCCTGCAGCACCTCCGGAATAAAGCCTCTGCTCAGTCTATTAACACCTGCTGAGATGAAGAGCTCAGCTGTCCCTCGTGTTCTTACACACACAACGTCATCAAAGCTCAACCTCCGGCATCACCATGATCTTCAGAAATCAGTATAATATGCTGATCTGCTGCTCGAGAAGCATTTCTGATTATTATCAATGTTGAACACAGTTGTGCTGCACAATATTTCTGTGGAAACTGTGATGCATTTTATTTTTCAGGATTCACAGATGAACAGAAAGCTCAGAAGAACAGCATTTATTTGAAATAGAAATCTTCTGTAACATTATAAATGTCCTTACTGTCACTTTTGATTCGGTTATGAATAAATTTATGAATTATTAAATATTTGTATAAAAAAATGGTAGCCTATATTTGTACGATACCCTTTAAGACTGAAAACTCTATTATGGTATGGCTTAATTTTCTCCATTCATTACTCCACAGGAAAAGAAAATCTGTTCACTCATGAGGAATGAGGGTGAGCAAATAATAACTTTTAATTTTAGGATGAACTTTAGCTCAGTTTGACACGCGGGTCTATAAGCGCCTGCTTAAACTCTAGTACTGATCCTCACTCACCGGGAGTCCAGGCTTCCCCGTCTCCCCGTCTTTTCCTGGAGCTCCTGGAGGCCCGATCGGCCCCGGCTGAGCTCCGACAGAAGGGCCCGGAGGTCCTGGAAGGCCCGGTGGCCCCGGAGGACCCTGGTGGGAGCCGTAAACACTAACAATTAATCTGAGTACCAAATTCTTTGTCTGACAACTCATATCCGTGCATCTTACACATGACTACCTCATGTCTCATTTTAACAGCATTAAATCATTTAAGTGTCTCAGAGTTCCTTTGATTATTTGCACCCAGAGCTCTCTTCATTTGAACAGACTGTAATAACTCACCCGTATCAGCTCTGTGTCGCTGTCCAAATCCAGATCGCTTGATCCGGAGCCGTCGACGCCGTCCTGCTCGTGGGAAACGCTCAGTGAGTTTACAGCCAGGCCATCTGCTATTATGATGGACATGATTATATAAATATGTACATATTAACATATTATGGTACACACCGGATACTTGAATGTCCCCGGCGGTCCGGGAGGTCCAGGAGGCCCCGGGATGCCCACACCAGGATCACCCTATCAAAGCATAAGCCAGGAAACCGTGGATCGTTTGCTATGATTGGCCCCAAGTCATCATGTTAGCAGCACTGGTTCAAGTCTTTTCCCATATGGATTTTTAAAAGTCTTAGTTAAAGCATTATAATCCATGAACCAAACCAACCAGCTACGAGGAGAATCACAGCATTACAGACTCTGATATGAAGCAGAATCACAACATGAGACAAAAAGACACAAGACTGCGACATTAATGGTTAATTGAAGGAAGAACTACAATCCCATGAAGCATTGCGAATGACATTAATCGAATTAAAAATGATGGAGAAATAGAAAACTATGCATTTAAAGCTGTTGATTATATTCTACAAAAAACAATTAATATATTTTAAGTTTGTTGCAAAATTTGCATACATACAGTATATACAAATATTTCAGTATTTTGAGAGCATAGGAAGACTCATTTGCCATGACTCATGACAGTGGGCGGAGCTAAAGAGGCGCAACTCTCTGATTGGTGGAATTTTCTGCACAGCATCATGGGTAATGTAGTCTTCACTGCAAATTCCTCAAATTAAACATGATTATTTTAAATAAGTTAACATAACGTGGTCTAATGGCTTCAACTAAAGCATATGCCATCAATTAACAACCTTGGAACTCATAACAAGTCTGTCTTTAACGGTTTATAAGTTATAGTTAAAAAAAACAGATGATTTGATGAACAGTTTCCCTATGGAGAAAATGAATGGAGATTTCACTTCTGAAACCTGACTGACAGACTCTGTAGGTTTGTTAGGCATGCTATTATATAATATAATCAGCCAGAGTGTGTCGTACCTTGTCACCTTTGGGACCCGGATCTCCAGGAAGGCCCGGGAATCCCGGAGGTCCAGCCTCTCCCTGTAGGTGACCGAAAGAGAGGAAAACAAACGTGTTCATGTTAGTTTTGTCCAGAATAAGGCAGTGCTGTTGAAGCACACTCTCTCGCACAGATCTGACAGAAGGACAGTGCGGTGATGACCGCGGGCCGCTGGTTTAATCAGCCCTACAGCTGCTCACGTTCTCTGACCGCTGACAGACTGAGCAACAGTTCACTGGCCGTGACTCACTAATAATGAGGCATGGATTCCAGTTACTAAAACATTAGCGTGTATTCCTGGCTCTGCTGCACACATGTGAGCGAAGCGTCCAGCGGAGACGTGAGCACACACTGCTGCAGTAAATACAGAGATGGCGTGCTGCATCAAACGCTTGATGTTCAGTTTGAGTTTAGAGTGGGTTTGGCCACTCTAGCATTTGCATTTCTATTTCCACATCCGGAGGCTGCTAGGAAAACTCTGCGGCTGTTTCACTTCACATCGAAAAGCAAAGCTTTCACAAAGGCTATCTATCAATCATAACTTTATAAAAACAAAACAAAAAAAGTCAATACATACTAAAGTTTTTAAAATGTTTCTGAAAGAAGTCTCTTCTGCGCAATGAGGCTGCATTTATTTGATCGAAAATACAGTAAAAACAGTGAAATATTATTACAGTTTAAAACAGCTGTTTTCTGTGTGAATCTGTGTTAAACTGTAATGTATTTCTGTGATGCGCAGCTGTATTTTCAGCATCATTCCTCCAGTCTTCAGTGTCACATGATCTTCAGAAATCAGTATAATATGCTGATCTGCTGCTCCAGAAGCATTTTTGATTATTATCAATGTTGAACACAGTCGTGCTGCACAATATTTCTGTGGAAACTGTGATGCATTTTATTTTTCAGGATTCACAGATGAACAGAAAGTTCAGAAGAACAGCATTTATTTGAAATAGAAATCTTTTGTGACATTATAAACGTCTTTACTCTCACTTTTGATCACTTTAATGCAGCACTGATGAATAAAACTATGCATTTCTTAACAAATGTTTCTTATTCCTTTTCCATTTTTTTATGTTTAGGTTTGAGTTTTTTTTTTTACTGTAAATAGGATGTAATGCTTGAAATCAGTGATTTAAACATTAAATAGTGTATTTAAATTAAGGTATTCAAATCAGGTATACAACAGGTTCAATGTGTGGTAAATAAACGATATATATATTTTTTCCAGCTCAAGACTCTATCATACACACGGTATCTACACAGAAACAGGGGGGATACTCACCGGAGCGCCGTCTTTCGCTGGATCACCCTGTAAGAGAACAACATCAACATTAATGCAGCACAATATCTGACCATGCTTCCGTTTCTTGTGCTCGGAGACGTGATCAGAAACCGGTTCAGCTCATTAAGCGTGTGGAACATGTGACGGACTCTGGGACACGTGTGTGATTGTGTGTGTGTGTGTGTGTGTGTGTGTGTGTGTGAGAGAGAAAGAGTTACACAGCTACGACACACTGTAAACCCCTGTGTACAGTCTGCCATCGAAATGAGCAATGCTCGCAAAAAATGAACTAAAACACCACCATAACAGGTTTGCAGCACGTCAAAATACATGCATATCTACACAACATGTCTACCCCAACATCAGGCCACGTATAAGCAGCTGTGGTGATGAGCAAACGTCTGTCCACAGAAACAGAAGCTGACGTCCTCTGCTAGTTTAGTTGTGTGCAATAGTGAGTCATTCACTGCACAGCGAGTAACTCAATCATGCTGTGAATTATCCACAGACAGAATCAACCATCCGCCGTATGATCTGATCTGATCTGATCTGATCTGAGCCATCACAATACTCCAGCACTGCAGTGTTTCACGCACTACAGCACCATTTCACCGCTTCAGCAATTAAACAATTACAGACAGAAAGAAAGATCAAAAAATAAATAAGAAACAAACAATTAAATTCATTAATTAATTAGTATTTTTGTCCTGATTTCCAGTAAAGTAACATCCTTTAAACAAGATACAGTACATTTATTTAAGAAAGCAAATGTGCATAGGAAGATTATTATCCAAGAATATATCTTGAATGAAGTTAATTTTTTTGTTTATTTGTTTATTTGTATTTTTTAGAAATTAATATTCAGAAATTTGATCAGTTCAATGCAACAACAAGGATGCATTGAACTGATCAAAAGTGACAGAAAATTCAGCTTTGCCTTACAAGTATAAAGTATTATAAATTGTAAAATGCAATATTATTTCACAATATTACTGTTTTTAACTATATTATATATATATTTTTATATTTAAATATTTTTAATTAAAATTAAAATTATAATTTTTTTTTAAACACACACACACACACACACACACACACAGGTTTGTTTTTGTGAAAAGTGGGGACTCTCCATAGGCGTAATGGTTTTTATACTGTACAGACCGTATATTCTATTGCCCTACACCAACCCTACCCCTAAACCTACCCCTCACAGGAGACTTTCTGCTATTTCAGATTTTCAAAAAAACGAATTCTGAATTATTTATAAGCCTTTTGAATTACGGGGACACTGAAAATGTCCTCATAAATCACCTTCTCGTTGTAATACCTGTTATACCCATGTTATTATACAAATTTGTGTCCTCATAAACCACATAAACA